ATACATACATACAGACATACATATACATTATATATAATTATATATTTATATATATATATATACACACACTCATTTTTGTATACATAATATATATATATATATATATATGTATATATATATATACATAATGCACGAAGCCTGAGAATGATGTTGGTAACTTCCCAGATCTTGCAACAACTCCGCTGCCTCGCACAAGAGGGAACCTCGCCCTGCAGAGACCCAAGAGAGTGCTTTGCATGCAGCGGAGCCTTAAGCCTTAACCCTAAACCCTAGATCTTAAACCCTAAACCCTAACCCTAAACCCTAGATCCTAAACCCTAAACCCTAAACCCTAACCCTAAACCCTAGATCCTAAACCCTAAACCCTAAACCCTAAACCCTAAACCCTAGATCCGAGATCCTCCCCAATGGTTGAGGTTTTATAACTTTGAACCCAAAACCCAAAACCCTGAACCCTAAACGGCCCTAAACCGTAAACCGGATAGCTCATTTTCTCAAACCCTTAGCCTCAACCTCCACGTGTAGACTGAAGGCATTTTCCCTGGCTCCGTCCGGGGCACTCCGCCCCAAACGTAGCTCGTCCAGGTTCCTGGCCACCTTAAGAACGCTCGAAGGATTCAGGGTTCAGGGTTTAGGGTTTAGGGTTTTGGGTTTACGGTCTACGGTTTAGGGTTTCAGTCTAAGGGTGCAGGGACCCTAAACCTTGGTCTAGTCCGAAGTAAGCAGACCCTAAACCCTAAACCCTAAACCCCAATCTCAGCGCCGATCTTTGTGGTTGTCGAGTGGCCAGCTTCCTCACATCCCTTGATATTTACTACAGCTCATGTGTCTATGAATGTATGTATGTATGTATGTATGTATGTATGTATGTATGTACGTATGTATGTATGTATGTATGTATGCATAATGTGCAAATCCTCAGCCGAACAGACCCTAAATCCAAAAATAGTCTAAACCGTATAGCCCCCCAAAGTTCAGGCCGTTACAAACCCCACAATGCTGCAGCCCTAGCAGACAGTTTAGGGTCAAGGGTTCAGGGGCCAGACCAGTCAGCAGCTCTTCCAAATAAGGTCATCAAGATAGCTATGTCGTCTTTTTCGGGTTTAGGGTTTATGGCTTGCCGTTATTTTGGTCCGGGATCTAGAGCCCTAAACCTCTGAACCCTCAAAGTC